AAGCATTTTCCTCGACTTTGCTAACCAATAAAATGCATCTTTTAGCCCTTTGGGCCTTTTTTAACGGACCAAAATGACAGATGTCTCTACAAATTGAAATACTTCAGCTAGCGAGATCTCTACCCTTTTATACACCTGAAGTTTGAAAAAGGTACTCCTTTTGGGTGGAGCTTCCCCATATCGGCTATTCTAGGGTACCCTTCCGGAATTCCACCCACCTTGCAAATCGAGTCCATCTAACTTCTCCTCCTCAGCATCTTCTTCAAATTCACCTGGTGGATCCTCATAGTTTACCTTCCCAGGCAACATAACCTCAAGTGTTTGAAGAATGTGCACTAACCGTGCTGCTATGAGATGCACAGACTGTCCAGTCTGACCAATCCTAAGCTGCAATATGGTCATCTCCCATGGTGTGTGAACACTGATTTCAGTGATTTCCCTCAGAGTAAAACTGATATCAAAATTTCTTTCCGCAGTTAAAATATCCACTGATTCATTTAATAGAACTAAACTACCGGGTAAGTGCTTTTCTTTCTGTGTCCTAGCATAAACAATGGGAAATTCAGACTTCTTTACCATTGCATTGTTTTCTGGAACATCAACGTGCACATGTGGAATTTCAACGTTCCATTTGTTTAACCAGGAATCTAGATTGTAAATTAAAGACTCTGCCACGCTCAGGTCATTGTGAATCTTGTTTATGTTGGAACAAGCTGCATCAATTTGTTGCCCCTGTTTCTGCACAGTCTTCCCAGCTGAAGTTAGTGTACTCTATGCATCGTATAGGATATTGAGGAGTTTTTTGAGTTAGGTGGTTCCTCACCACCCGAGCTGAAAAATTAAATGAAAGAGTACTTTTTTTGGTAAAAGTAAATAAGGAGTCCCATACAAAAGTATTGATTACGTCATGAAATCGATTCGTATTTTGTGTCATGTACATGTAGAGGTTGGAATATTTCTACGCACCTCGCAAATAACCTTTCCTTCCAAAAATGTTCGATTGTATTAAAAACATTTCCACGATCAGAAAACGAGGAGAACCAATATTTATCAGTGTTAACACGGACTGATATAGCCGCGTAAAATATGGATGTAGTTTCTTTTATAGCTCGAAGAAATCCTCATAGTATATTCGAAAATCGACGCAATTTCTTCCTTCCTTTTTTCTTCCACAAAGCGAATACAACGAGTGTAGATTACCAAACGACGATAGATCCATGTTTTGGTCTTATTACAATAATAAGATGCCTTCCAAACGCCAACTTTACCCATCTTCGGAGACAAAGTGCAAAGAACCGAAAAACCAAAACAATCAGAGGTGTAAGCAGATATTTTGTACAGCGGTTTTTCAACCTTCGTATCGTCTACAAATTCCGACAATCTGTCGAACATTGCCGAAGACTCGTACATGTCACTGATTTGAACGGCAGTTTTGTGCAATTGACGTTCCTTTGCTTAGTTTTGCATCCGTTTTTGACGTTTTTGATATGGCAGATGGAAATTCATTTAGTTTAGATGAATATTCTGAGGAGGATGAAGAGGAGAAGAACTGGATCCTCGTGTTCAGGTGAAATATAAACTAAAAGATTTACAGGGGTATTGACTGACTCAGTGACAAGCTTGATAAATTTCTGCTTCACTTTTTAACCCAGGACGAACTTGAAAAACTCAACGTCGCTGCGGAATCTGTCAACCATTTAGAAGCTGAACTTGATGTGAGTGTGGAATTCGTTTAATTACATCGTTGTCTGCTTCGTTTGTACCGATCTTTTTGTCGTCACGCAACGCTCCCAAATTTGTTCTTTGTCATTTATATCTTCCCCATTAGATCAGAGAGTTTGATTAGCTCTAGAAATAGAGAAAAGGCCAAATTAGTTTACAAAAGTGTACAGTATTTTTGAAGCCCTGAACCCTTGCATATTACAGTGTAGCTTAGCTGCTGATTTTCAATCAACAATGTATTTGATTTACCCTATTTATTCGAATAAGCGCCCAACCTCGAGTTAGCACCCACCTCGAATAAGTGCCCATCCTAACGGTAGAAAAGTTAATAAGCGTCCAGCCTCGAATAAGCGCCCAACCCACTCCCTCCCACTCAAACTTAAATAAGTGCAAGCGCCAGTGCCCACCCCAACCCCTTCTCCCTCCCGCCCCCCCCCCCCAAAAATTGAATAAGTACTAATAAAAGACTCGCCGGAGACAAAGTTTTCTTCTGAGTATTTTACAGAAACCTTGCTTTGTTGCATCTGTGCGTTTTGTTTTTACTATTTATTGGTGCAAAATAAACATACTACACATACTACACATGTTGAAAATTTAATAAGAGCCCAGCCTCAAATAAGCGCCCACTCTCGAGGTCGAAAAATTTATTAAGCGCCGAGGGCGGTTAATCAACTAAATACGGTAAGGTTAAACTATATCCCCCATAGAATGGTTCACAGTATTATTTTTGTGTTTTCATAACGGTCGACAATATTTTATCAGCGACCCCTTCATTTTCTTTTGTTTAAAATAATTATGGCTAACCCTGCACTTTAGGGGTGAATCATTTCTTGGAGAATAACGATTTCTAAGGGAATGAACAAACTCCTGGGTCGACTAGGTTTCTAGGTATACAGTATACAGAGGTCTGTGCTGGAGTGAGTATACAAGTTAACTTCTGTTATCTTACTAATTCAGCAATATTTTTGGTGATGATTAGGGTATACTATCCTTACTATCCTTCTTTCGTTGTTGGATGTATTGAAAAAAATGTTAAAATTTTCAGAGTGTATTGGCTAATTTCTTTTCAGTTTTTTGGCATATCACTACCCCCTACGCCCCCACTTCCCCCGTCTGTCTGTCTGTCTGTCTCTCTCTCAGGTTGGTTGAACATAATCAGACTTAATCAGACTCTATGAATTTCGTAGCCTGCGAACGGCAGACGTTTCTCCACGCTCATCGTAGCTTGTTCCAGGCTCCGAGATAATCGGGTCCGCTGAATTGAGAAAAGCGCAAACACGAAAATAAAACGGGAGGAAACTGGGAGAACAAGGGCGGCGGAGCCAGTAATCATTCTCTATTAAAACGACCCATTCCGGTATGCCAACTCCTGGTATACCCTCTGATTAGTCAGATTTGACAGATTATATCAACACTCTCAAAGCGGGTCGTTCCTGTCACTCAGAAAGATGGCGTGCGGCGTCCACGCGCGTGAAATAGAGGAATCCACGATTACTTCTGTGTTGAACGAATGTTTACGAGATTTTCCACACATAGGAGCGCTGAAGAAGGAACAGAACACAGGCGGCCCAAACTCACGTTACGAGGGAAGGGTGTAATGTAATTTACATACCATAGGTGACGCGGCGGTGTCGCGTTACAGGCGACCGTTGAAAATATAAGAGACTTTGTAAGGGAAATAAATTACTGAGATCTGCGAACGCTAAATAACGCTAAACCTTACTTTTTCTTAAATGAAATGAATAAAAAAGACTTACCTGCAATGTATTCCACTGCGTTTTGGTGTCTGTTGTCGTTTTACTGTTTTTTGGCTTTATTGCGTAACCGCTGTTACTCCTTTCATAGAACGAAGTGAAGGCTGGTCATCACTTCGATCTGTCGGGGTCTTGGACCACTCGCAACAAGAATGCCATTTTTTTTTTTGCCGAAATTCAAATCCGCTGCAAATTTTTCATCTCCAGCCTAAGAGGGAAACCTCGTCTTCCTCTCTGGAAGATCGGCTCGAAAAAAGATCCATGATTTCCTCATTAAATCGAGCCATTTGTGCCGGAAAACGAGGCACGTCTGGCTTTCGTCCAGTGCCTGTGACCACTGTTGCGCTTGCCAACCAATTTGCACTTACACGACTTTTTCACAGTACAAGAGCCTAGTTGACGTGTCATTTCCGCCCTGGCACCCGTCGTGTAAGTGCTAATTGTCATAATGCAAATTAGTTGGTAAGCGCAACAGAGGTCACAGGCACTGGACGAAAGCCAGACGTGCCTCGACGTCCGGCACTTCGTTCTATCTATGAAAGGAGTAACAGCGGTTACGCAATAAAGCCAAAAAAACAGTAAAACGATAAACAGACACCAGAACGCAGTGGATTACATTGCAGGCAGGTATTTTTTATTCATTTCATTTAAAGGGACTGGTTCACGATAATGCGCATGCGCGCCGTTTGGCTCTTCAGAATAAATTTGTTGGGTCAACACTAAATTCGAAATCGCCATTACCGGTACAATCACTGAAAATCCTTCGCTTTATTCGGACATCCGTGGCTTTGACTGGTCTAGTTATACTTCGGTAGTGGTGATTAACGTGTGGTTGTGTCGTTTGACTGGTTACGTTTTAAGAAGACGCAAAAAATAATGTTTTGATCATGGAGGTTCAGAAGAGCATCGTGGCCGTCCGGCAAAAGGACGTTCTCAAGAGTCTTAGGAGATAGAGAAGCTTAGCCTATCGATCTGGTATGGTTCTAGGAGTAGTGTGTGGCTTACGAAAAGAATACATGACACTTGGAAAGTGGTTAAAGGCATGAGTTCGTTCAACTTTGATTTGATTTTTGACTCCGACCTGTAGTTATACCGCAACAGGCCGCGTGATCTTCACCGATCTGGTACACTTGAAATGTTCCTTGTATCTTTGCTTTACGATCGTATATGTTTAAGAATTGAGGTTTTAAAAATATATTATTGCCTGAATATTTTGTTTACAATATAGTTTCTTTATGTGTGCTACTCGATAATATTTGTTTTGCGGAACACTGACCCGATGTAACGCGAATGAATTTGTTCATTTGCTGATAAGCATTTGAAATTTATGCTCAATTAAGGATAATCTTTATACTCATACGTTGTGTGTTTTTGTCACCGGTCAGGCGGTATTTGTAGGTATTTCAGGGTTTAAATAAGGCGAACTGAGAGAACAGTAATAAGATGTTTGATTACAAATTTTGTTTGCCGATCGGTGACTGCTTTGTTAGCGTGGGTACGACCTCGTAAAAATACACGTTGGTAAATGTTTGTTTCAAAGCAGGACAGGGCTGTAAATCTTATTCTTATCGGCTGCAACATATAACTGAGGAGTAGCAAAGAATAAACTTGAATTATGGGGATAAATAAAATCAAACCAAATGCCCGGAAATACTCTCGCGTCGCGAACAATTAATTTGAATTTTGTAAATTTACTTGCGTGCGTCTAACTCGCTTCCGATTGGTTGAAAAACAATCAGCTACTATCAGAACTCACACATGCGCATTACCGTGAACCAGTCCCTTTAAGAAAAAGTAAGGTTTTGCGTTATTTAGCGTTCGCAGATCTCAGTAATATAGTTTTCATACAAAGTCTCTTATATTTTCAACCGTCGCCTGTAACGTATGGTATGTAAATTACATTACACCCTTCCCTCGTAACGTGAGTTTGGGGCGCCTGTGAACAGAAGATCTGCCTTGTGAACTTGGCGCGTGGAAAAGATGTTTTTGCAATCCTGCTCACCAGCCTCTGTCTTGCCTGATAACAAAGTGGCAATAACAGAACAGTCGCAAGAAGGAGTTATCTACGCGCTCCAGTCCAGACTCACATTACCAGGAGAGGGGCCCGGGGGGCCCGGCCCCCCTCCCTCCCTTATTTTAGACCAAAATGAGGCCCGAAGGGCCGAAAAAAAATTTTTTTTGAGGCCGCCCCACTCTTAACTCAGGGTCTGGATGACCGCCCCGCCCTTATCTGAAGGTCTTGATCTGCCACTGTTATCTTCAGATCTCTTTAGAAGAACAAGGTGGAGTTTAAAAATCATTGCTTAAGAGCAATCTTGACTGACTCACAACGTAGTTCTCAATGTTTTAAGTAGCTTCAATTTAAGCTGCAATGCATTCTTCGAAATTTGGATCTGTGAATCACTATCCGTGAGAATTTAACATCTCGGAAAAACACTAACGAGCTGGGCCCAGCGTGACAAAACTCATCGTAGGAGACCATCACATTCACGGACAAAACAGTGACAAAGAAAATGGCTTTCGGTTATTCAGATCAAGGAGGGACTTTGGAGAAAATAAAACAACCTAAAACCCTTCTTTAGCCGCAATGAAGAACTTCACGTGTCAAAAGAGGTCAAAGAAACTGCTCTTGCAGAGGGCAAATCATCAATCATGCCGACCAGAGACAATAATGTGCGTGTCATGACCTCTCAGCATGAAACAGGCGGCAAAAATCACATAGTTTGCTCATTCAAAATGTATACCCCTCCAGAGCATAATCTCCGGCATAATCTATCAGTAAGAGAAAATGTTCACTTGTACAAGCAGCATTTTGGCACGAGATAAAAGTCGTGTGTTGCCTACCGACCCGCTTTCTACACTCCACATTGCTCACACTCGCATAGGGCAGGGGCACCCGACGTCAATTTTCGAAAAATATCTATTCAAAAGACGATTTGAGATCTAGAATTTTCGGAACATTTGTTGTAAAATCTCTTGTTTGCCTGCCTCTCCTAGGATTTTCGAACGTAAAAAAATGGCATAATTGCCAATTTTTAACAGATTTTTACCCTAAAAAGGTCACCTAGAACTTTCGGGAGCCTTTTTTCTGGCTAAAATTTTCGGAAAGGTTATTTTTGATCCCTGTAATTTTCGGATCACTAAACTCCGAACAGATGAGAAATTTTTAGGGGATAAATATATGCCTATATCTACCGTTTACATACTAAAATACGTTTAAGAAAGCTTTGTTTAAGCGGTTTTGAACTATAGTCTCGTTGGGTGTCCCTGATAAGGGATTGGTAGCCTGTGAACAGGCTCTCTGTTTGGGGAAAGGGTGAAAAAATCGCGAGGAGAGAGAAGGGTGACCCTTTTCCTTCCCTCTCCTTGCGTTTTTTTCACCCCATACCGAAACAGAGGGCCTGTTCACAGGCGGATGGCGCCACGCGAAATAATCTCGCGAGAAATTTGAGAAAGATTCCAACTCATTGACATTTCAACAGTTTGACAGCCGAAATCTAATTATCCCAAACGTGCCACTCGCCTGCGAAAACATCCGTGTTTCCTCGCTCTTCGCCGCCGGGGACGTTTCGCGCGAAACGTCCCCATCGACGAAGAGCGAGGAGAAACGGATGTTTTCGCAGGTTAATTGTTTACGAATGACAGTTAAAAGGCGGCAAAGGTCAAATGTACCTTTATCATTGACATTTCAACAATTTGACAGCCGAAATCTAATTATCTCAAACGTACAACAAGTGTGCGCAAGAGGGTCGTAAATGAAATGATTACAGGCTCTCTCTCCTTTCTTTTCCTTTTTCCGGCGCCGCCTAACTTTTCGCGTGCCTTTGTCTTTGTCGCAAAAATTCACTTTGGTGGTAGCTTTGCATCATTATTTAAGGTAACAATAGAAAGCCACAGCACTGAGGGTTGCAGCAAAAGCAGCAAGTGAGTGTAGAAGAGCATTAATCACCAAAACACGTGGTTTGCCAGCATTTTTCTTGCTTAATCTTGAGAAAGTGCACCCCAGGATGGCGGGGTTGTAAGATTGTATGAAAAAAGAGGGTTTTTTTTACCCTACCTAAGGGGGTTACCTCACCTATGTAGGGTCCCCCACCTTCATGTAAACAGGCCCTTAAAGTTGTAATTAGGTATATTTGGGTTCTCGACAACAATGGAATTAAAGGGCCGTAGATTGCGAAGCGTAAAAAGGCCTCGCAATCATCCTTCAATTACAAAAAGCTAGAAAGAGAATCACAATGGAAGTTTCTGGTGGAACACTCGAGATCACAGTACGAGCACAAGTGGCAGAAACATTGTCGCATAGCCTTCAAATATAAGAATTATAAGCGATTTTGTCTGATCTATGTTATCTGTTTCTGTAACCTACGCACATCAAAGGATTTAAATAAAAATTGCTTAACCTCAATTAAGTTGTGTGTTTCTTCTTTCCTGTATGGTCCTAGAGCCAATATTATTGACACTGAAGTTATGGGTTTTATTTACACCGGTTTTCGGCCCTCTCATTTTGAGGTGATGGTTGTAACTGATATCAAACTGGTTTTTATTCAAATCCTTTCACATGCGCAGGTTACTGAAACAATGGTTTTTTCCTCCTTACAATTAAGTTCTTATATACCGAACTGGGGGTTACAAAAAATGCCGAAGGTCATATTTCAAGCTTGGGTGACCTGTGGTACGAGCGTGAATTGGATATTGCTTTGGATAAAGTTGTTTTATCTTGTAAGAACGTTGGTGCCTACCATTTACATGGGCGAACCGGTCGGTTCAAGGCAATATTGAATTAATTATCATTGTGGCACGAAATGGAGATTAATAAAATGTAGATTGTCTACTCGTCGATACCCTGAATCTTCAAATCCGATTTTACCACGGCGTACAAGTGATAATGAGATGCAGTCTCCCTTTGCACCAATGCGTGTCGCTGCTATTGGAATTCAATCAATCAGTCATGCTTTTTACCTTTAATACGCAACGCAGTGTTGATGAATCAGATTCTATTAATATATTGGACTAGCTCACACTAATTCCGTGCACGATATAAAAGCGGCCAAGACAATTTAAGACAAGTAATTAGGTTTGAGTCATTTGAGGAGATGGAGGGTCTGAATTTTTCGCATCTGAGGTCTTAGTTTTCGTCGCACCCGATAAGCAAGATGGCAGCAACCAACAGTTCTTTCAGAACAGAAACAAGATATGAGCATCTTTACAATCACATAGAGTTGTTCAATGGGTCGTGTTCACCAATCGATGCTCCAGCAGCAAACCGTTCGCGTTACCAAGATTGCAGGGATCAACAAACGAAAGAAAATCAGATCGGGACAGGTCGGCGTATGTACAGTGATTACAGAACAGAATCCAGCAATGAACACCTTTACAATAACACACAGTCAATCAATGAAGCGTCTTCATCCGCCACCGAAAGCCAAGCAGCAAACCAAACTTCCCACTGTAGTTTTCGTCAAACCCAACGAAGGATGGCAGCACTCAATGCTTTCAGAGCAGAATCCCGTTATGAAAATCTTTATGATCACAAAGAGTTATCTAATATGCAGTCTTTACCCAGGTGTTTACCAAGCGGAGCCCCACCAGTAAACCAAACTTACCAAGAGGAAGCAGTATACCAGAATTACGAAGGGAATAACAGACCAGTAGCAACCAATAGTGCCTTTAGAGCAAAACCCAACGATGAGCATCTTTATAATCACATACAATTATCCAATAGACAGCGTGTACCAAGCGGAGCCCCAGCAGCAAATCAAATTTATCAAGAAGAAGCAGCAAACCAGAATTACGAAGGAAATAACAGACCACAAAAACCCATGAAAAATATTGCGATATGTCACCGTATACCATTTGCTGTGATAGCTGTTCTGGTCCTTTTCCTCTTGGCAACGGTTGGTGCATCGATCAGTTTAGCCATCATGATGTATTCTGAAGGTATTTTTTTAGTTAATTTGAATTTAGCTAATTCTTATAATTCATGCTTCTAAACCGTTTGATCTGGATTGATCCAACCACGAGACGGATTTTAGCGGACGTGATAGGTTGTTGAGTTCATGATTTATTAATGAGTTTTTGAAGCAGATTTCTAGTTACTGCTAGGCAATGAACGCCAAGATGAGTGATTTCAAGAATTTATTCCCCTTATTCTTACTCCGACATACGGTCAATCAAACACCTTCCTTAATACCAGTCATCTCATATCCAACTCGCGCTCTCGTGAAGAATTATTAAAACTGTGTAAAAATACCGGGGTTGGGCCTAGATTTCCCTGTAGCTCATCCAAAAAGTTATTCTTCGTCTTCCACGTATGTCTCTGGTTGATTTGCAATTTGAAAAATGTAATTTCTGACGACTGAGAGACACGGGAACGAATTAGTCACAAATTAATATTCTGACGGCAAGGTTTAGAGACGCGCGGAGGCTTAGGGGATAGTTTTCGACTATTTATATTTGTGGCATTCTACGCCGGCTCATCAGTCGTCGTGTTCGCTTTCGTTTTGTTTAGCAAAGTTTCTTTTCAGATAGTTTATATTCTTACGTGTTCAGAACTGTGTTTTTTTTGGAATGACCTTATTTCGGTATATTTAATAAATAAATAAAAGCAATCTTTATTGAGGAAAGCCAACGTCACAAGAATTGGTTTACGGCAGGAGCCCATCAAATGGAGCCTCCATCTCCCATACAATCCCTTGGAGTCAACCCTTTCCCGAGTAGATTTATAATTAGAACGGTTCCCAGGGGAAACTTTACGCGCCGACGGTGGGAAGAGGCAATCACAACGACGAAATGACACTGCTATTGTACTTCATCAAACAGTACGAAATTCGGTGTTGACAGGCCAAACACAATCATATAAGCTAGTGAAACGTGACTTTAGCGTTTTCATCTCTCAGAGATCTTTTTTTTTCTTTCTAGCAGGTAGATTATACTGTGGAGAGTTTTAAACTCTGACTATGTTAATCTTAATTTTGGTTGCTTGTCTCACATTAAGAGGCCATGAAGATGGTCTGTTACATGCATAATGATTAACTACTA